TTGTAATTTTTTTTCTTTTTACTATAGGATTGTTAAATTTTATTAATATTATATATTTTACTTATTTAAACTCAAATACTACATTTAAGTTAATAAATATATACTAACTTCTCATTAGGGATGGCAATTTCCTCCGCAACCCGCGGAGCTTCGCGGATTTTCCCGCCATGGGGATGAAGATTCTAAGATTATTCTTCCCCGTGGGGTGGGGATGGAAGCATTTTTTTTCCCGTGAAATTTCGTGAGGAATTTCCTCCGCTCCATGGGGAACCATGGAAGTCCATATAAAATAAAAAAATAAATAAATTTATTTATATATACATTTTTAAATATATTAACAATTAATTTTTACCTACTCAACCTAATTAATTGACCAATCCTTCTTTTTTTTTTTCAATTTTTCCAAACCCAATTACGTAGTCCAGTCCAACCAATAATCTTCTTAAACTTAACTGTCCAAGCCCAACCCAATTTGCATTATCTTCTTAAACTTAATTGCCCAAGCCCAACCCAATTTGCTAATAACCCTAGAACTAGAAGGACTATTTCAAATTTCTGAGATTTGCGAATCTGCTCTGTGATTACTCCTCTCCAGACTCCAGTCTCCTCTCCTCTATGCTGTAACTCACTGGCTTTGTTTCTATTCTTCAATCGGCTACTTGCAGCTTGCCTGAGCCTGAGTTGTGAGTATTTATGAGTATATCTGTGCTTGATGATTTATTTTGAGGTGAAGTAGATCCCATTCTTTTGGCCTTATTATTTCCAATTTCATTTTCCCTCCGATTGTTCGCAAGATTGTTAGAATGTGATTTTCGTTGTTTACATGCCTACACAGCTTCTTTCTCGCATTCACAATGAACGATAATCGTATTGTTATTTTAAGGCTCATTCAAGCTCTTAATTGGTTCTATCTTCAATTAATTTCTCAAACAAGAAACGAGTATCAAGTTTTATTTGGTAAGAACTCCGAATAACCGCGGGGACCTATCATTCTTCGCGGGTATGGGGGCAGAGGCTATTTTTTATCTTCCGCTTAAAATCCCTGTGAGGATCCCCGTACCCATCATTGACGGGGATGGGGATGGAGTGACGGGGATGGGGATGGGGAAGGGGTCCCCGCTCCTATGGAGACCCGTTGTCATCCCTAAAAATGTATATGAAAAACAGCTGGTAAAGCCAAAAAGCGAACAAGAAAATAAGAGCAAGGGAAGACTCTTTTTCCTGTAGTGCCTTTTGATGTGTTTTTTACTATTTTAAAATATATAAAATATTAATTAAAATAAATATATAATATATAATATATTTTTTATATTAAAAGAATAAAAAACCTACCGTTACAAGCACAAGCTAATACTATCAAACTAAGTTTAAAGTAAATTTAATTTTTAATTTCAGTTACTCACACTTTTGGACTTTTCTGAAGGCAAGTGTGGAGGGAGGGGTGGCCTTCCGTGTCATGACTTTATTGGTCATCTCATTCACATCATAAAATGATTTAAATGTAATTTTTTTACTATTTTTAGTATAATTTGATTTATCATTTAAATAATAAATTTTTTATTTATTTAAAATTTATAATATTAAAT